TGTAGAAAAATCAAAACGGAACCCTTATGATACAATTACTTGTGTAATATTTCTAAAAGCTTATTCTTGCAATTGTAGAATAAGCACAAATGTAATTTTTCTTAACTAGTGTGTATATAAGCTTACTCATCTCATTTACAACTCTTGAGAAACATTTGTGTACAACAATAGTTTATCAAGCATAGTTGAAAACTGTTTGTGAATTCAAATTTTAACAACGCTTAAGAACAACTATTATTATAAGCTTGTTCTCAAGTGGTATTGAGATTTGATTACTGAATGGTATGTTGGGTCCACCTTTGTGATTGGTACGAGACGAGGCCACACAAAAGAATTTTCACTTGCGATTAAAACACTTTATTATGCAGAAATCCATTGTATATTTATACTCCAGTAAAATTTTACTTATTTTCCTACTTTTTCACACTGTTTTTTAATATTTTCTGGACCATTATTGAACCTTTTTTCTCTATTTAATTTTTCACTTGATAAATTACGACAATGGATTCGTCGTCTGGTTTAGGGATATTTAAGTCGAATTACGACTTATCGATACATTTTAGTAGAGAAGAACTGAAAGGTCTCTATAGTTCGTTTAAAAGTCTTATAATCGATTATTGCATTATCAATAGACCTCGGATTTTGCATATTTGCATATTTTTTAATAATGAAGATATCGAAATTCTGATTGGACACAAATTCGTTTCAAAGGATTTAGAATTATTTGAAGGGTTCATATTTTTTAATTTTTTGCATATTTGCATATTTTGCATATGCACGAGATATGCAAAAAATATGCAAAATATGCAAAAAATATGCAAAATATGCAAAAAATATGCAAAATATGCAAAATATATGCAAAATATGCAAAAAATATGCAAAATATGCAAAATATGCTAGGTCGATATGCAATAAATATGCAAAATATATGCATAAAATATGCAAAATATAGGCCAAATATGCAAAATATATGCTAAAATATGCAAAAATATGCAAAAATATGCAAAAATATGCAAAAAATATGCACGGTATGCTAGGTCGATATGCAATAAATATGCAAACATATGCAAAATATGCAAACATATGCAAAATATGCAAAATATATGCGAAATATATGCAAAATATGCAAAAATATGCAAAATATATGCACAATATGCAAACATATGCAAAATATGCAAAAATATGCAAAATATGCATAATATGCAAAAATATGCAAACATATGCAAAATATATGCAAAATATGCAAAATATATGCAAAATATATGCAAAATATGCAAACTATGCAAACATATGCAAAAATATGCAAAATATATGCACAATATGCAAACATATGCAAAATATATGCAAAATATGCAAACATATGCAAAATATGCAAAAATATGCAAAATATGCAAAAATATGAAAAATATGCAAAAATATGCAAAAAATCTAATTTTGTATGTATGCGTTTCATGATTCAACTGTTAGATTTTTGGGGCATTATGAAAAATTTGCTAAATATATGTATAAAACATGCAAACATATATAACCGTTATATGGCGATATACTAAAACGTGGACCGATATATCCCATTTCCAATACCAAACATCCTAGGAGTAATAATAATATATGTGCAAAATTTCAAAGTTCTATCTTTAATAGTGCGACCTAGCATACCGTGCATATTTTGAATATTTTTGCATATTTTTGCATATTTTGCATATGTTTGCATATATTTTGCATATGTTTGCATATTTTGCATATTTTTGCATATTTTGCATATGTTTGCATATTTTGCATATATTTTGCATATTTTTGCATATTTTGCATATGTTTGCATATTTTGCATATTTTGCATATTTTTGCATATTTTGCATATGTTTGCATATTTTGCATATTTTGCATATTTTTGCATATTTTGCATATTTTTGCATATTTTGCATATTTTGCATATTTTTGCATATTTTGCATATTTTTGCATATTTTGCATATTTTTGCATATTTTTGAATATTTTGCATATCGACAATGCATATTTTGTATATTTTTTGCATATATTTAACGCATATCGACCTAGCATACCGTGCATGTTTTTTGCATATTTTGCATATTTTTGCATATTTTGCATATTTTTTGCATATTTTGCATATTTTTTGCATATTTTTTGCATATTTTGCATATTTTTTGCATATTTTTTGCATATATTTTGCATATTTTTTGCATATTTTTGACATGACCCCAAATATCGATCAATTAAAGCATGAAACGCCTAAATACAAAATTTGAGTCCAATCGGATAAAGCATAAAAAATATGCAAAAATCCGAGGTCTAATTATCAAACAGTTAAGCTGTGTACACACTATCATTTTTGACTGTCAACTTTTTTATCGATTACTGACTGTCCAACGACCATAAATATTTCTGTGGTTGCCTGATGAATGACAAACATGTGAGGCCACACTATCAAACAAGCAAAATTTGGGCAAGAGTGCCATTCAAAAATGCTAGTGTGTACACCGCGTTAAGGGAACGATGATGTTGATGTACGTTGTACGTCAGAGTTAAATATATTCGTCCATGTGCTGCATTTCGAGTTTGCTCGAATGTGAAACATTTTCCCAAATTTGGTGTGCCCCATTCCAAATTCCCAAAAAATATTGGGAATATAATTCGAGCACATATAGCGTTGTAGCCATTAAAAAAGAACTCTGAAGTAATATTTAACGTGTTTTTACAATATTTATTTAAAAAATAAAGTATTTACATTATTTTTATAGTAAATTTAAAGAAAATAAAAAAAGGCTCATTTTATCAAAAAGAGCGCGTAACATTTTTGAGATTAATCTGGAAACTCAACCACCATATGATCAAAATAAAAATAGAATCTATAAAAAATCTACTTTTGAGATTTCCAATAATCCTTTTAATAAAGTTTCTTGCAGATGTGTGCCCTTTATTATATTGATGTTGACAAGATCCATGCTCCACTTGTTTATAGGGCGTCATCAAAAATGTTTCTAAAGCTTAACCACTGTCTCCTAGAAGCCAACTATTTTGCATACCATTTCCTCTTTTGTTAATGCTGCCTAGCTGCACTCATATGCCAAATAAAAGCGTCATGGCTGGATCCTGGTCTGCAGCTTGGACACACTTTGTCATCCAGAACTTTCATTATTCTCCATAATATTTTACACATTGTTGTACGATCAACACTTATATTTAAATCATTTGCCACTACCCTCTGAAACCCACCAACAGCCAGAAATCTTTGCTGCTAACTGCAGGCTTTCGGGAATGGTACCCTTGTGTATGAAAGGACCAACATCTCTCAAAATATCCATAAATGCTTATTTTAATAGGTTCCAGTATCATTAGACTTTTTCTGGTAGAAACCAGGGCAATTAATAAGCCAGCAGGCATATTTTTTCTTAATTTTGTTGTTAAACAAATTGCAAATTCCAATGAAACATATGTTTTTTTTATTGAACACATTTCGTAACATATTGAACACAGCTATGCTTTCGAGCTCGAAATTGAGCACACCATTTTGCACAACATGAAAATTTAAAAAAGTATGGGAATTCAAAAATTCTCGGAACATGTCACATGGGCGATTTTAACTTTTTGCGTACGTTAACGTGATAACAAAAAAATCTCAACGCGAACATTCTGCTTAGCTCTTACCGCACGCAAAGAGTTAAAATATATTTAACATCAACATAAACGGATCTATTTTGCTTACCCCTTTAAAGAGCTGAGCAGAATATTCGCGTTGAGCCGTCCGTCGCGTTATGTGTTATCGAAAATACAACAACCACAAGTGAACGATAACACAAACGCTCGAAGTTGATGTGCGTTGCGAACATTCTCCTTAGCCCTTCACATGATGCAATAATAAAGTGATATATCAAAAAAAACCTTTGTTTTTGTCTCGACCATCTGCCAAATAATATTTAAGATGGTTGGCAACATTGCACTTTGACAGATAATCTAGACATCAGCTGCGGTAAATAGACTACCATTTATTGTGCCATGGCCCTTCATAAACAGTTGCGCTCAAGGTATATTTACTAAGGTAGCCGCTTCAGCCAAGCTTTTGGTGCAAATAAATGTCAAAAATGTTGTTGTAATTTTGAACCAAAAAATTAAAAAACAAAATTATAAATGAAAAGCTCCGAATTTTGTAGAGCTTGTTTGGCAATACTTTTATTCACATTTTTTCTACAAGAATTTCTGTAAAAAAAATCTTATGGATCTATTTGTTTTGGACGGCTCAACCCGAGCATTCTGCTTAGCCCTTTAGTCTGCTTTTCCACAGGCAAATACTGAGTTTGTAGGCGAGAGGGGTGCGAGGAAGAAAAAAAAAATTTGCCTGTTCAGAGTTTGTGGTACACGCAAATTCTGCTTTGCTCTGTTCGTTGAAAAAAATTTTGTTGACATTACCTTTTGAACCTATTCGCTTTACTGACACACAGCCGGCTTTTGTTTACAAACCTGTTGTTTTAATTTGTGCAAGTGAAATTTAATTTTTAATTTTTGCAATTTATATAATAAAATATATAAAAAATAAATAAAATTTTAAAAAATCTTTAAAATGCAAACACTTTTTACGTTTTTTTTCTTTCTTTTGTATTTTGATTCGCAAATTTGGCAAAGAAAAAATTGCTAATGGAAAAGCAAGCGAAAATTTCAAAAGAGAAAACAAATAATTTGCCAAATAAAAATCTGCCTGTGGAAAAGCGGACTTACTGAATATACCATGGTTGCGCTATTTATTGCGAACGAGCGGGAAAATGAATGACACGAGCAAAAGGAACGAGGGTAAAAATAAACGATTGGATCAAAATGAACTAGATGAACGAGAACAAAAATGAACGACTGAAGCAAAAATAATTAGTTGTACGAGATTGCCGGACTTAGTACCGATGGTTCCTTTTGCGGAATATTTTCTTTGAATTAGTTCATTCCGGAACGATACAATTCTACCTGGAGCCCGGTTAGCATCATACCTTGTCAGATACGATGTCTCAAAGAAGTGATGGGCATGTCCCAGCTGAGGAAAGCGACTTGCTGCTGATAAAACCGCTGTACGTTAACAACGTTTAGTATAGAATTACTAATAAATGTAAATATTTTTTTTATATTTTTGTCAGTGGTGCTGGACAGGAAGTTGGCCGGTCGTGCATTATGTTGGAATTTAAGGGAAAAAAGATAATGGTAAGAAACATTGTTTATTGCAAAATCGCTATTAATTTTGTTCTTTGGATCGTAATTTCTAACAGTTAGATTGTGGTATTCATCCTGGATTATCAGGAATGGATGCATTGCCTTATGTGGATTTGATAGAGGCTGATGAAGTAGATTTATTATTTATTTCGCAGTGAGTATTACTTTAAATTGTTTGTAGAATATTAGAACAATCTAAATTCAGTACTTGGTTCTGATCGTTCTGAAATACCATTCGATTCGTAGAACTATATGCGTTTCACAACAATCTGATCTTGACACTTAATTAAAAAAAAATACTTATGTTCGATGTTAGTTTCCATTTAGATCACTGTGGAGCACTGCCATGGTTTCTTATGAAAACCAGTTTCCGTGGGCGTTGTTTCATGACACATGCTACCAAGGCGATATACAGATGGATGTTATCGGATTATATTAAAATCAGTAACATATCCACTGAACAAATGCTTTATACGGAAGCTGACTTAGAGGCATCCATGGAAAAGATAGAAACTATTAATTTCCACGAAGAACGCGACGTCATGGGTGTTCGATTTTGTGCTTATAATGCTGGGCATGTCTTGGGTGCTGCAATGTTTATGATTGAAATTGCAGGTGTAAAGATTCTGTACACTGGCGACTTTTCTAGGCAAGAAGATCGACATTTAATGGCTGCTGAAATACCTAATATGAAACCAGATGTTTTAATAACCGAATCAACGTATGGCACACACATTCATGAGAAACGAGAAGATAGAGAAAATCGATTTACATCTCTAGTGCAGAAAATTGTTACCCAAGGTGGTCGATGTTTAATTCCCGTATTTGCTTTGGGAAGGGCCCAGGAACTTTTATTAATACTAGATGAATACTGGTCACAGAATCCTGAGCTTCATGACATACCAATTTACTATGCATCGTCGCTGGCTAAGAAATGTATGGCTGTATATCAGACATATATTAATGCTATGAACGACAAAATTCGACGTCAGATTGCAGTGAATAATCCATTTGTATTTCGTCACATATCAAATCTAAAGGGTATCGATCATTTTGAAGATATTGGCCCATGTGTAGTAATGGCATCCCCGGGTATGATGCAAAGTGGTCTATCAAGAGAACTATTTGAAAATTGGTGTACAGACCCGAAAAATGGTGTAATAATCGCTGGTTATTGTGTTGAAGGAACATTGGCAAAGACTATACTTTCAGAGCCGGAGGAGATAACAACTTTGTCAGGACAAAAATTGCCCCTAAATATGTCTGTTGACTATATTTCTTTTTCGGCGCACACAGATTACCAACAAACGAGTGAATTTATACGTCTCCTGAAACCGCAACATGTGGTAAGTCAATAACAGTTCGTATAAAATGAAATGATGCTACTTTATCTAAGGATATTAAATATGTAAAACCTTTGGTACACGGTATGTAAAATAACATCACGGCTACAACTGCTAATGGAGAATAGCGACACTATTACTGCTAATCCGTAGTTTTCAGCCATTAAAAATAGCATTTCGTTTTAAGTTCAGAACTGTCTATTAAGGTTAGGGATGTACGGTTCTCTTGTTCAGAGAAAAAAATGTATTGTTGCGGGGTGTCCTTAAGGATCCTGTCTTTCACCTGTACTGTACAACATTTACACTTCGGACTTTCCTGTCGTACGGGGATGCACGACTTCTATTTTTCAGTTTAAAAATAGGTTGTTTCTAAATAAACTTTTTTGTTTTTTTTTCTCGAACGTTCCTACGCCCCACTTTCCCTCCCCTGTCGATCGAGGGGGCGACCTCCCCTTTCGAAGTGATCGAGTACACTCCATAATCCGCATCATGGTGGAATATGAGAAGGGAATAGAAAACCAGCTACAGAATCTACTCCAACAGCCAGTTTATTATTAAGTTGCACTACTCATTTAAAAATACAATTATATTAGATTTTATAAGTTCAACATTCTTGCAAAAATCTACATTAGAGTAAACAGAATTGAAATCAATTCAAAATTTACTGAGTGGATCTCCCATAGAATAATTTTTGCGATGAAAATCTACATATATGTAATAGTTGATAATATCTTCTAGATCGAAAAGAAACATTTATTATACTAGATGAAATTAGGAAATCAGTGGGTATATTACCATTTAATATTTTTAGTACCATCATAGTGTTCCGAATTAACCGAATTAATTTTAACCTGCTAGTGTAAGAAGGCAATACAAAATCACTATTCCAATGTAAACCTCTCAGTGCAAAAATTAAGAATTGTTTCTGCACTGACTCGATTTTATAGGAATATATTACATATTGAGGATCCCATACAACAGAACCATATTCTAATATAGGTCTAACAAGAAACGTGTATAGTTGTTTTGTTATATAAGGATCCGAAAATTCTTTGGCCATCGTTATATAAAACTTAATACACCATATGCTTTATTTACCATAGAAATAACATGATTGTTAAAGTTTAACTTTGGATCCATAAAATACCAAGATCCACGAATGTTTCAACTGTTGATAAAACCGAACCGTTAATAATGTATTGTATACTAAAACCCATATTATCTAATTTATATAATAAGAGTTCATGGTTAACCCTATCAAAAGCTTTACTAAAATCTGTATAAATGGTATCTGTTTGATTGCGCTGAACAAATCCCTTTATTACAATTGAAGTAAACTCTATAAGATTTCCGCCACTTCGAAAAAAGCTCAAAACTTGGAAAATACTTTTATATATGAGCTATATCAAAAAGTGAACCGATGAAGTTTAAATAGTCGAATGTTAATTCTGCATATTAAACCATTAAATTTTCAAGAAAAAATTAAACAAACTCCATGAATTAATCAATGAAATCGTATTTTCATTTTTTGTTTGGTTATGTGACAACGAAAAATATGTAATCGACAAAAACTACCGTTACATTGCAAAAATTGTATTTCAAATCATAAATACGGTTCCGTAAAATTCAGGTTAATAAGCTATTTTTTAACCCATCATGTTTTAGATGGTCATCATCAGCAAAATATCACCAGATTGACAAATCATTTTGTCTCAATATCTGCTTTTTAAAGATTTAATATCATAATTTTTATCAATAACCATATTTTATATCCATATATTACCCAATAAAGAAAATTGAAATAATCTTTTTAAGCAATAATTAGAACATATTTCACTTATGCGTATAACAAAAATATATAGATATATCCCAATTATTTTTGTGTACAGTACACCCAATTAATTCTACTGAATTTCAGGTTTTAGTTCACGGCGAGCAAAACGAAATGTCAAGACTAAAAATGGCCCTACAACGAGAATATGAAGCAGATCCTAATATAGACATTAAATTCTACAATCCACGAAACACGCACTCTGTGGAATTATATTTCCGAGGAGAAAAAACAGCTAAAGTTATGGGCACATTAGCTGCATCTAAACCAGAAATAGGAAATAAATTATCCGGTGTTTTGGTTAAACGGGATTTTAAATATCACCTACTCTCCGCTTCGGACTTGTCAAGTAAGTTTTTAAAGCTTTTTTTTAATTTAGTAGCTACCCAGTTGAAAGTGTCCTGCAAACAACATTAACAAATCGTGTAAGACAATGGCAAATCCTTAAGGTGTTACGCCTAGTTAAAAAAAAAAATTAATTTTTTGCAATTTTTTTCTTTTTCATAAAACTAGTAAAAAATAATTTACAACTAAAAAAATATTTCAAAATACTGGACTTGCAATAGGTTTGGAAAACTGCATATTTTAAAATTTGTTTTGCGGTGGACATCTTTTATCGAAAACAGTTCACCTAAAATCCAAAACTTTTCTGTTAGTGCATTGGTATACACAGTTCGTGAATGAAGGGTTTTAAAAATTTTGAATTTTAGACAAAATGGCCGCAATTTTTTTTAATCAAAAAATTGTCAACCACACTTCTTGAAAAACCGCGTGACCAAATTAATCAGATTGGCTTGAAACTTATCGCTCAGCCGTCCTTGAGCTCGCTGCTTACGTTTCAGAAGTCAGTTTTTTAAAAATTTGAATTTTGAAAAACTGACTTCAGACTTTTGTAAAATTTTGTCGGCCATATTGGATCCGCCGAAAAATGCCGAAACCCAAAAATCTTATTTTTTTTAACCAGAACAACTAGACGTAACCCCTCAACAACAATGTGAAATCTTTGGCGAATATTCCGTCAACGACAGATTTTATTATATATATATATATATATATATTTCTTTAATTCATATATAATTTCGAGTTCCTACATCTAGCTCAGATCCGTATAGGCTAATTTATAAAAAAAACGCATGATAGTCTAATTTTTGGAAAAAGTTGCAACGCTAAATATGGATGGCAACAAATGTAATGGTTATTGACCTAGCGTTAATACAAGAGTAAAGTGATTGTCTGACTTAACGATCCGACGAAACGTCTGCAGCTAAAATCTTGAAATGTTAGGTAATAGTCACTGTTAGTCCTGTTTCAGAAATGGAAAATCCTAAAAAATTCCAATAGAGCTGAAATATATATATAATAATAAAAAACACAATGCCTAAGAAGTAGACGCGCCATGTCGTGAGGACTTTCTGCATTTTAACATCTCCTGTATAGAAACAAAATCAAAATTGATTGAATTAATAAACAATTAATAAACTTGCCTGCCTATGAATAAAACAATGTATTTAAATTATAATCTATAAGAAATAGTTATACATTCAGTTTTACTTTACCCTCTTTTAATCAAGAAAACACCTCTATTTTGTCTTCATATACACAGAAAGAAATATCTATTTTTCTATCAATATTTCATAGAATACTCCAGCCAGACAATTTTGGATTTGTTTTCATATTTTGTTTTTCAGCAATACAAGACAAGTTGGTCTTCTAGTTTATCATTAAAGTAAAAAAATTAAAATTTCCCCTAAGGATCTTTGATAAAAATGTCTTAACGACTTCATTTTCTATTGTATAAAAAAGAGAATACATTTTTATATTGTTTTGTATCCTGGTAGTATGTCTTTGCTCTCTGCTCTCTCAGAAACGTTACCTACTATACATAACTAAAAAGTGCGATTACAAAATTATTTATTAATAAAAAAATGAACGTTGCTTTTTGCAGAATATACAGATATGAGTATGTCTGTTGTGACTCAACGCCAATCCATACCATGGAGTAGCTCCTTGAGTACTTTGCAATTACTTTTGGACCGCATTGGTGGTGCTGGCACTGTTCAGGTATTGGAGGTTGATAAACGAATTCGAGCATTTAACTGTATAGACCTTATCGTGGATGCAAAAATTATTGTAATGGAATGGCAAGCGACACCAGTTAACGATATGTTCGCTGATTCTGTTCTTGCATGTATTATGCAAACGGAAATGGGGGGAACCAACATTAAGGGCACCACTGGTCAATCAACATCCGAGCGAACACATTTCAAGGAATGTCTTTTAGAAACACTGCAGGATACATTTGGCGATAATTGTGTTCCAAAAATGTTCAAAGGTGATGTATTACCTGTTACCGTTTCTGATAAACACGTGGAAGTCAATCTGGAAACTCTGGTAAGTAAGAATGTAATGGTAAATTTAATAGTATATATTTCAAATGTTTCTATCTTTGGTTTTCTTCGCAGGCTGTAACTAGCAACGATGATGAGAATTTACGGCAAATTGTTAATACTACTGTTCAAAAGTTATATCAAGCGCTAGTATCCAATACGTAACATAAACAAAATATCGAATAATAAAGAACTCCAAACATATTCTTGTAATGGTTTTATTATTATTTATCCTTATTTGGGTTGACCTTGTATGCCAACTGTCTTAGTCGATGTTGTCGGTATTTTTTGAAACATTTTACGGCTACGGTTTTTATCATGGCATGACCATGGGTTTTTATTTACTCTGTTTCCAAATCAAAAAAAAAAATCTCTATAAACTCAATTTATATAGTACAAATTTATAATGTGGGATAATTATGTTAATACTTAATTTAATGCGTACGATTTCCTCAAATTTAAATACATCAAATGATTGTTACTCAAATATATAGTTATACTTTTCGGTATGCTCCCTATATTATCCAATGTTCAGCCCGGCCGAACTTAACGCATTTTTCACTTGTTTACGCTGTTCTCAACAGAGTCTCTAACCACATATATGCCGTACAAATACGACAGTGCACTTTTTTCGACACAATAACGGCAACCATGATAAAGGTTAATTCAACTCTATGGAAAATTATCTAAAGAGTTATTGTAATTGAAATATATGATAAAATTGTTTTATTATATTATTTGAAAATACAAAGCAAAAAAATTAACGCTGAGTACTTTTAGCAATTTGTTCTTTTAAAACAAGAATGCTTGCTCTTTGTTCTGGAGGTAATTGTGAAATTTGTTCATCTGTCAGCTGTAGTACCTGCATAATTAATGCGGCTTTCTCTTGGTCTGACGCATCATTAGGTAAGCCGCAATTGGAAGCCAATCGATTTTGCAGTTGTTGTTGAGCAGTTTGCTGAGCACTCGGTGGTACACCAGAGGCGCCGGCAGATCTTAAGCGAGGATCCATGGGTCTTTGTCTAGGATCAGATGGGAATGGCACTGTCGGAGTATTAATTGGCTGTTGCTGAATTTGCCTCTGATTACGGAGATCCATATGAGGAGGGGGGACGGGGTTTGGCATACCTCTCAAATCTTGGTCAATATTTCGAACCATACGAGGATCAATTGGCGGTTGAGACCCCATGTTTACGCTTGACATCGCTCTGAGATCAATGTCGTTTCCTTGCATGGAGTTGAAACTAGGACCAGCCAATGGGATAGATGATGCACTTACTTGAGCAGGAGGAATAACAGGTGTATTTTGCATAGTATTTACAGAAGGTGCGCTTCCACCTAATGGCTTGGCGCCCAAAACTGGAGGCATTTGATTTGCCTTAAATAACATTCCCTAAAAATAGACTTTTTATATGAGAGTACTAAGGCACAAATGCAACATCTTACCAATGCTGTGGGTGGATCGACAATGCGCATTACGACCATTGCTTGTAGTAATGCATATGCTAATTGAGGGTTTAGCATTAGCATTTGGCGAGCCTCTGACGGGTTATTTTGTATACACAGTTTCATTTGTTTCATCAACTCAAACATTTGTTCCGGTGGCAACGATGCTACAGTTTTCGTTATAATTTCCGGAGCTTGGTCTGGGTCACAATGCTCTCCATATGGATTTTCTACTTGAGGGCCTTGCAATAATTGCTGCATTTCCATTCTTGACTTCTCCGTACACGCGTTGTCGACTCTTAATGTTCTTCCTCCGATTTCATATCCGTTTAGGTTTCGCATAGCACTTAAAGCGGTTTCCTGATCTTTATATTCACAAAATCCGAAGCCCTTTGGTTTGCCACTCTCTCGATCAAAAACCAATCTGAAGTAGAGGATATTACAGGTGTAGTATACATAAAATTGATAATATATTATACTATTTACTTTAATGAGACAACTGGTCCAACCTCGCTGAAAATCTCCTTAAGCTTTTCTTCAGTTGCTTCGTATGGAATGTTCCCAACTGAAACCAATATTATTAATTATAAAATATGAATTTTATTACAATTGGTACTACTAACCGAATACTGAACGCATGGATTTATCCATAATACTCTGGTCAGAGCTTTTGTCTCCCATTTTAATTTTTATTTCTTAGACGCTTCAACTGTTTTATAAATAAAATTTTACAAACGCGTTTTGTTTTTTTGTTTTGTGCTCTCTTAAATTTGATTCAATGCTTTACCAGTTTTATTGGGTTCAGGAACGGCTTTCGAGTAAAAAGTTGCTGTAAAATTACTAGATTCTTTTAGGTTTTGGAACTGAAAAAATTGAAAAACGTTCCACCTGCTAACGAATGGGAGGAGAAGACAAAATGGCCGATAAAGATGAACTCAAAATGGTATAACCGAAAGTTTACGAATGAGGTGGGATAGAGACTAAGAGTCTAAACGCAACCAGAGAGTCACGAGTCAGCGTCATACTTTTTCGCCGGCGTGAAAACCAAACGAAAGAATTAGCGTTAGAGTCTAAACGCAACCATAGAGTCTAGAGTCAGCGATAGTCGTTTGCCGTGTGTTTCTTGTAGGCAACGGGAAATCGCGACGGCTGACGTTCGCGTCTAGCGGCATGACGCTAGAATAGATTTTATTCATTTTTGCTCAGCGTCATACTCAAAATTTCTCACTTGCTCTCAATTGAGTTGCCATATTTTAGGTAAAAATCAACAGTGCTGCCAAATTTTAATGATAATTTATATCAAAACATATGGCAGTACTGTTAAAAAAACAAATATTTTCAAAGATTGTGGATGTTTTTTAATGAATTATTAATAAAATGGAAGAAAAATATTTTTTTCAATAATTTTATCCAAATTCCTTGACATTATTGTTTATTAAATAATAAATTGATTTTGGTTTGCACAACGTAAAATTTTCTGTCAGAAAATGAAAACAAATAATTGACATTTTGTGCCGCTAACGCTAACTCTTTCGTTTGGTTTTCACGCCGGCGAAAAAGTATGACGCTGACTCGTGACTCTCTGGTTGCGTTTAGACTCTTAGCGGCACAAAATGTCAATTATTTGTTTTCATTTTCTGACAGAAAATTTTACGTTGTACAAACCAAAATCAATTTATTATTTAATAAACAATAATGTCAATGAATTTGGATAAAATTATTGAAAAAAATAGTTTTCTTCCATTTTATTAATAATTCATTAAAAAACATCCACAATCTTTGAAAATATTTGTTTTTTTAACAGTACTGCCATATGTTTTGATATAAATTCTCATAGAAATTTGGTAGCACTGTTGATTTTAACCTAAAATATGGCAACTCTATTGAGAGCAAGAGAGAAATTTTGAGTATGACGCTGAGCAAAAATGAATAAGAGTCTAAACGCAACCAGAGAGTCACGAGTCAGCGTCATACTTTTTCGCCGGCGTGAAAACCAAACGGAAGAGTTGGCGTTAGCGGCACAAAATGTCAATTATTTGTTTTGATTTTCTGACAGAAAATTTTACGTTGCGCAAACCAAAATCAATTTATTATTTAATAAACAATAATGTCAAGGAATTTGGATAAAATTATTGAAAAAATTATTTTTCTTCCATTTTATTAATAATTCATTAAAAGACATCCACAATCTTTGAAAATATTTGTTTTTTTTAACAGTACTGTCATATGTTTTGATATAAATTCTCATTGAAATTTGGTAGCACTGTTGATTTTTACCTAAAATATGGCAACTCAATTGAGAGCAAGAGAGAAATTTTGAGTATGACGCTGAGCAAAAATGAATAAAATCTATTATAGCGTCATGCCGCTAGACGCGAACGTCAGCCGTCGCGATTTCCCGTTGCCTATAAGAAACACACGGCAAACGACTGTCGCTGACTCTAGACTCTATGGTTGCGTTTAGAGTCTAAACGCAACCAGAGAGTCACGAGTCAGCGTCATACTTTTTCGCCGGCGTGAAAACCAAACGAAAGAGTTAGCGTTAGCGGCACAAAATGTCAATTATTTGTTTTCATTTTCTGACAGAAAATTTTACGTTGTGCAAACCAAAATCAATTTATTATTTAATAAACAATAATGTCAATGAATTTGGATAAAATTATTGAAAAAAAAAACAGTTTTCTTCAATTTTATTAATAATTCATTAAAAAACATCCACAATCTTTGAAAATATTTGTTTTTTAACAGTACTGCCATATGTTTTGATATAATTCTCATAGAAATTTGGTAGCACTGTTGATTTTAACCTAAAATATGGCAACTCTATTGAGAGCAAGAGAGAAATTTTGAGTATGACGCTGAGCAAAAATGAATAAAATCTATTCTAGCGTCATGCCGCTAGACGCGAACGTCAGCCGTCGCGATTTCCCACGGCAAACGGCTGTCGCTGACTCTAGACTCTATGGTTGCGTTTAGACTCTAAATGGAAACCGTGTTGTTTACGAATGAGGTTTAGGCAAATTATGATTAGGGATAAGTAAATCGACTTTCGACTAATCGAATATTTGTATTGAAAAGACCATGGCACAATGAATAGGTAGTCCATTTAGCACAGCTGATGTCTTGATTAACTGTCAAAGTGGGTAATTTCTACTTGAATTCGATGTGCAGTGTTGCCAACCATTTGAAATATATGGAAAAATTTGACAGATAATCGAGACAAAAACAAAGGTTTTTGTTTTGATACATCACCTTATTATTGCATCATGGGTAGTCCATTTAGCGCAGCTGATGTCTCGATTAACTGTCTAAGTGGGTAATTTCTACTTGAATTCGATGTGCAGTATTGCCAACCATTTGGAATATTATAAAGAAAATTTGACAGATAATCGAGACAAAAACAAATGTTTTTTTATTACATCACCTTATTATTGCATCATGCCATGATCCAATAAACAGGTCGTGTCAGAAGCAATCGTTATCGAAAATTTTGGATTAAAATCCCTCCAGCTTTGAAAATTTAAGACAAAATTGAAAGCATTTTACAGCTCGAGTGAAATCATCTGGCCTTATCGGATGACCCTATTAGGTGTGTCTTGTTACATTTCCAGTAACGTTTACTCAGTAAGTTCTAGTTCAGAGTGTAAGCCGTTTTTACTCTCTTTTGAGATAATACTGAGAAAAGTAAACTGACAACATTTAGTAAGATGCAGGAAATAAACAGATGATTCAAGAAAACATTTTTATTTTCGCCAAAATAAACAAACAAAGGACGAACACAATTATTTGTATTGAATTTTATATTGAAAATAAAATTAACAATAAAATAAAAATTGATTTGGTATGTTCTCCGGGAACACTTAACCCTTTCAGTGTAAAAAAAAAAAAACAATTTTGTCGGAATAAAAATCTAAAATTTTGTACTTAAAATCATATAAAGGCATAGAGTTTAGAAAAAAAGGAATTTTCATTTTAACCCTCGGACAGTTTCGTCTGTTTTTCCGCAAAAACAAAAACATCAATGTTAACGGTACATAGGATAACCGAAAACTCGCAAAGAAAGAGAGAATTTTTAAATGTCGAATATATTCGACAAAAACACTGAAAGGGTTAAGCTTCCTGCATCAAAACATTGCCCTCTTTTTGGAACTTGCCTAAAAATAAAAAGAATTATTTTCTAATTTAAGGGAACCCCCACCATTCTCGATTTTAATTTTTCAAGATTTTCAATGGGCTGGTAAATCAATACCAATGCTTGTTAAGGTTTGTAACTTTACACATATATAATTGAAGATTTAAAATAGAAGAAAAATAATTTACAAAAAATGTTTGTTGTTGTTTTGTTGATGTTTTTTGTAATTAAAGAAAAGTCCTTATTTTTGATGGCGGGCATGATAACTCCTCACTGGAACATCGGAATCCGAAAAATCCAACGGTGTTAGAAAGAGTACATGTCTGGCTCTGGTATGAACTAGGATTATTGACTTCGCTCTAAAATTGACAAAATGGCGGAACTTTGACAAAATATTTTTGGAAAATCGCCGATTTTTTACTAAAAACCAAGTTAAAAAATAAAGAAGATGTTCACCGATTGGCTTTATCCTAGTTCATACGAGAGCTATACACTCACAGAGAAACGTGTAAAAATTTGAAATCGATTGGGTTATTAGTTTTTGAGTTATCGTGCCCGCCATTCGCAAAAGAGAAAAACGCGTTTAAAGTTTGAGAAGCCCTTCAGCCGTCACTTGATGCTGACACAATAAATCGGCTATATCTTCAAGAGTTCTTGAGATTTTCACTTGAAATTTTGTAGGGACAATATTTGATTAGTGTAGATTCGAATTATGTCCAAAAAAATTTGACCCCAAGAATGGGGGGGGGAGGTCCCCTTAATGAAACTTTGCATTACTTACGACTTTTCTTCTATTTTCTGTAATTTTTATACAACCTTATTTCAATTTCAACTTTGCAAATTAAAAAAATGTTCTGAATAATTTTTGTGTTTAGTCATAAAACATCTGATCCAAAAATGGCTGAGTTTGCAAAATCTTACTGCATAAAATTAGCTCTGTCTGTTTACTCGATATTTGGTAACAATTGTTACCAAATGTTACTAAATGTTGTCTGTTTACCCAAAAAGCCAGTAAAAGAGAGTCAAGTGAGAGAGCAAGTTTGACAGTTCAACAACAACAAACTTACTGGAGTTTACTGAAAGAATTTTATGCAGTAAGATTTTGCCAAACACAAAAATTATTCAAGACATTTTTTTAATTTGCAAAGTTCAATTTGAAGTTAAGTTGTATACAAATTACTGAAAATGGAAGAAATTTCGTAAGTAATGCAAAGTTTCATTAAATTAGAAACTAATTCCTTATATATTTTTAGCAAGTTCCAGATAGAGGGCAATGTATTGGTGCATAAAGCTTAAATGTTCTCGGGAAACATACCAAATCAAATTTTCTTTTATTATTCATTTTATTTTTAATATTAAATGTTGTGTTTTAATATTAGCTCTGTCTGTTAACTCGATATTTGGTAACAATTGTTACCAAATGTTACTAAATGTTGTCTGTTTACACAAAAATCCAGTAAAAGAGAGTCAAGTGAGACAGCAAGTTTGACAGTTGAACAACAACAAAGTTGCTGGAGTTTACTGAAAGAATTTTATTCAGTAAGATTTTGCAACTCAGCCATTT